AGGAAGGGACAGATGATGGGCATGAGCAAAATTTCTGAAGACCGCGTTTGGTCACTCAACAGCTGGATAGAGATTGATTATTGGCTATACCGTTGACCAGTCAATATGCTGGGTTTCAGTTTTAACAACTCAAGCTATCGTGTAACAGTTTGTGTATTGTAAACATACATAATCGTAACGATCTATGAAATATACGCATGAGACAAATAGGAGTAGATAGATCTCCGAGATTGAAAACACATTTTAGTGTTTTTCGATAAATAAAACAAAGAGTAGAGATAGTATATATTTTCTTATACATTTTACGCACACAGCTAGTACATAACACATAATGGTTTGCTGTACATGTAAATATAATCTTCACCTCGATACGAATGAATATCCAAATTAAAGTACACGTATTATAGAATTCAAAAAGTGACACGATACTGAATTATTTTAATGTATAAACTTGCAGTTGAATCCCCCCAAATATTTATGAAGATGGGCGTGCCTATATTTATACTGAATGTAAACGAGGTTCATAAGATTACAGATGTACATGTACGCATAAACATTACAAAGAGGGGCGTGACGGCATAAAGCAGGTTGTCCAATGATATAACATCGCATCTGTTTTTTTACACTTGTCACGGGACAAACCTTTCAACAAGGGCGTAACTACACATGCATTCTACCGGAGGCTGTTATTTCAAGGTCGAAAGAGGTGTTCAATTATCTCATTACTGTAATCTGATTGAATGATTATACGCATGTGTATCGATACCGTAACTGCTATACTATCCAGCTTTTATTGACGATGGATCCATAGAGACTGAGTTCATTGATACACGTGATAATTACACCAGACTTGATAATTGCAGAGATCAAATACAATTGTTTTACACAATGCTCATGTAAATTGCATAGAAAACTGACAATTCAAATCAACATGAAACTTGTAACAGCTTGAACAAAAAATACCTTTGTATGGTTTACATGCAATAACTTATGATATTACTTCTGTCTATGTCTAAGAATTTTTTAATTACCAACTTACTGTGTTTTGTAACAAACGTAGTAAAAGATTTCATTGTTGTAATAACAGTCGATGCAAAGGCGCCACTTATCACTTTACATTCGATTAGGTAACATTATCAACTTTATATTATGGAAAATAACTAGTTACAATTCAGTAAGCTTTAAATTAGTAAGTTAAATTATGTCTAATCTATTCGAGCTTGGGTGTATCATTATTTGTGTTTATACATTATGTTTCAATATATGCAACATGACAACGTAATAATACCTAACAAGTAAATTCAAACTATTCTATCGTGTTTGAATTCTTTGTATGTCCTTGACATTTCGTATATTTTTTCCTATTTATTAGGCAGTTAAAGAAAATATTATCTTCAGTAACCTCTAAACCATTGCATCTAATTCAATCAATGTGCAAAAGAAGTATTTTAGTATCCATTCCCAATGAAGAGTACCAGACACTTACCTCTGTAAAAACATCATAATCCCTTTTCTCGCCGACGTGTTCATTTGCCAAATGCAGTATAAGCCGGGGTCTTCTCGTTTATCCACCACCTATTGTTCTAGGTGGACAAGTCACTGAAGCGGAATAATCCTCAAGACAATAGATGTCCCTGAAATTTTGTTCCCTGTGAAATAAGATCCCCCCTTGAATGTAGTAGTAAAAAAGTAAGTCTTTCTACATTTTTTTTAATTTCAACAATACATACAATATCAAAATTAACAATACATTCAATATCTATGACAATCCTCAATAGCCTGTTAAATGGGATACTGCATCCCAATATGCATATACATCCATATGGCCAGCCAAAATTGCTGTTTGATGTTACATAATCTGTTTGTTAAATTGACATATTTAACTTTTTCTTGCGAGGAGGTTTGGCACCTCCTCTTAATTGCATACATGATGCCTCTACGTAAGATTGTTCTTTTTCAAGAATTCAATAATCTTGAAGATATTGGGATGGTTTTCTAAACAGGAAAGCTTCCTGTGCCAGCCCTCAACATGATTAGTAGTGCGGGGGCCTTCGGTGGCGAAGTGGTTCCACATGGTCCTGCCATGGTCACCCTCCACCCAGTACGATGTCATATAGTCTGTAAACTGTTCCACCCCAGGAGGTGCATCTTCCAGGGCCTGCCACCACACATCACTCACACAGTCCACTGGTACCAGGGGCAAAGCAATCGCTCGTCTTACAAGACGACCTATGTCAGGTTGTCCTTATATTCAGTTACCATTCCAAGCTTCTGAACTTTTCTCCAAACACTCTGGCTAAAGTGAAAGTAGCAACCCTTTAATATGGCATTTTGAAAAGTCATCTTGATGGCGTTTTGAGCAGCTGACTCAAAATCAGTGAACACACTCACTGGATCAATACAATGTTCTTAGAGGCCGCTACATTCTTCACATTTTCAAAGAAACGTTCATATGTCGACTGCTTTTTATCTGGGAGCAGACCATACACCAAAGGGCACATCTTATTTTGCACAAATGCATGAATGGTGTAAAGCTGGGTGAACACACCAGGGCACTTGTCAAATGTTCCGTCACAGTAGTACACATCTGCTTCGGAGAGAAGTCGCAGGTTCTCGTCAGTCGCGAAGGTCAGGATCTTGTCATGGTCGCCGTGAGAAAACAGCAGGAAGTTGTCATTGGCATGCGTCTTAGTATATGCATCAGGGAAGATCTATTGCTGATCTAGTTGCTGGCAGATGGGGGATGTCTTTGGCTCGGGAGCGGTATAGAGCAGGACGTACACTGTCAAAGATGGGCACTTCTGCAATGATGTCAGGATTCATCACTCTCAGACCTAGAACAGAGAAACACAATGTTAAATTCAAAGAAAACTGTTGTAGTATTTTAGTATTTAATAGTAATTAAAAGTTGCCAAGTATTTATGTTAATATTTACCTGATAACTCCTCCTGATAAAGAGATGGAATTGGTTTGGAATCTTTTCGGACAAGGTCCTTAAGATTGGCCAAGAAAGAATCTACAGCGATTCTATTCTCCACAGATGCATGGTTATGCTGGTCTCTGTAGGACGTGAGAATATTATCTTTGGTGTTAACCGTGGCATGGCAGTTCTTCTGGGCGCAGTTCAATGGACAGATGTTCCTCGTCTTCTTTTAACTACAAACTTGTAATTTTGGAACACTAAGTACTGACCACCTCTACCATTAGGAATAAACTGGACATTAACCTGTTGGTTAGCCATCGTGACTGACCTTAAAGAACCTCATGTACCATTTTATAATCGTGTAATAGTGAAAAGTGTTCACTGAATTAAAAAAACACAAATAGCATAATCGACACAATTTAATTAAAGTTCACGAACACTGTTCACTGTAACAGGGCAAATCAGCTAATTAGTGTCACCCACCAGGACCAAATTTCAGAGTGAGCAGTGTAATCACTAACCCGTGTCAACTAATCCCATCTAATCCCTTGTCAAAACTAAAGGGTGGTGGATAAGTGAGAATGAACCTAGACTGTCGGCCTTAATGAGTTAAGGGAATAACCATCACATTTTGCACTACAGTCAAATACAATTCTGAGTTTGTTTGGCTTTTAGGATGGTATACGCAATGATGGGGCAAGTACAAAACACAGCCTTCTTTGCCAATCAACTCACTTTCAGGTACTTCACAAGCATATCCTTTTGAAATTATGGTACCCATGAATTTCACATAATCCTTATGGAACGTTTCATCTCTTAACATTTTTTTCTGTTGCCAAAGGACACGTTTGATAGCTTGCTCTCTGTGACTTGGCATGGGCCTTAAATTACGGAAAGGAAGTAGGATTTGGAAATGACCATCACTATACTGAAAACCGTTTTGTGTTTTCTCCATGAATCGTTGATCCTTTATGGAGTAGCCACGTTCGCCTGGTTTGGAACCAAGATCGCTCTCACTGAAATCCAATTCAAATAACCTCAAGACTGTTTCAGGTGCAATGTATTCCTTTGACTTTTCAACTTCATGAAGGATGATTCTGTTACAAACAACATTATTGTCCGCAGGATTCAAACTTGCATGGGGCCATTTATTGTCCATCCATGTTTATGCAAAACAGCAAAAGGTCCTGAATCATTTGACGAAACAACTTCTAAAGGATTGAGAGCATCTCGGCATTTGCTACCAATCAAAATTCCAATATCAAGATTTGGCAAATACACTGGCAACTTATCTGCAACTGTTCTGAGATGAGGTATCTGTTTAAGCAATTCTGGTTTTGGAATGTGAGCATGATCAACAGGCATAACTTCCTTAGAGAACGTACGTGGGAGACTCACGTGGTTAGTACCATCAAGGTCCGAGACAACAAGACCATTTACCACAGACGTCTTGACATACTCTGTACCATTCATTGTATGGAGCTTCAGTGTTGCTGGTGCAGACTTGGCATCCAGTCGATTCATCAGATCCTCAGTGATGAAACACCCAGTGCTCCCGTTTTCCAACACTGCGTAGGTAGTCATCACCGTGTCTCTGCCTTTCACCGTCACTTGAACAGGAATAATTGGCTGGAAAATGGTTTCAATACAATTAGACTTGGATGCATTGTCAGGTTGCTCATTCACTTTATCACTGTTACCCTCGTCATTTGCATTCCTGTTGGACCGATAGTTGTTATCATGCATAGCTTTTGGATGGCGTTTACTGCAGGTCTCACAGATCCTTTTCCTCATACACCCTTTAGCAGGATGACCTAGTCCATAACAACTGAAACATCTATTACAGGTTTTCAAAGAGTCACGTTTTTCCACAAGGGATTTCTGTTTGAAGTCTTTACACTCATCACGGTCATGAGATTGTTTGCAAAAGAAACATTTGGGACTGTTGACCTTACCATCAGATGCGTAATTTCCAACTTGAGTGGCAAAACTTGTTGACTGAGGCCTGGATGAAGACTGTTTACTTTTAGTGGAACTGTTACTTTTAGACTGATGAAGATTCTGGCTGACAGTCAGCGCCTGTTTACCAAATGTTGGCTCACTTGCGGACTTTGCTGCAAATTCGATGAAGTCCACTAGGTCCTTAAATCCGATGAAACCTTGTCCATTTATCCTTCTAGACGTTACACGGTCCCTCCACTTGATCTGGAGATGCTGCGGAAGCTTCAGCACAATAGATTGCAAATAAGGAGCATAATTAAGAACCAACAACTGAGACATACTCTGCATGACATGGTAGCATTTCTTGAGATGGCGATCTATAGCCTGTTTTTAGCTTGTATTGTCCTAAGAGTGCTATTAGTTTTAACCTTCCACACTAGTTTTAAATCTAATTGTGATATTCTAGTTGGTTTACTGTCCTTCGATGACAGGTTTTATCATATACACATATTCCATTTCAATGTAAAATGTTCTCGTCTCGAGACGCCTGAAATATTGCCGATGTGACGTTAAATATTACCTCACTCACTCACTCACTCACTTGAGATTGAAAGAGAACTGTTTAAGTCCTTGAAAATCATCATGCTTCAAAACAGGACAAGACAGTATTCTGTTCAGATAAGCAGTAGATACCGTGTTTGGATTACCATATTCTTCAAACAAAAGGTGTCTTGCATGTTGATATCCAGAAGCAACATTCATATATAAGCAACCAGAAATCAAGTCTTTGGGCTCACCTTGTAACTGTTGATCTAGATAATACAGTCTATCAGCATCGTTGTTTGTGTGGGGAACAAACACGAGCATCAAAAGCCATCATGAAAGCTGCTAATTCAGTTGGATCCCCTGTGAACTTAGGAGCTTCTGGTTGAGGCAGAAACATTGCATTTACCATTTGTTGCTGGTTTTCAATAAACTGTATACTTGGAGCAAAGAGAGGATTATCAGGAACACTGTGCAAATGCTCATTACCTTTCATGTGATTATCAAAACTCCTGGGGTCGTAAGAATGAAATTTAGTTGCATTTCGATTCAGTGAATGTTCAAGGTTTACTGAATTTAGAGTAATATTTGTCTCACTCTTTACATCAGAGGATACAAGACGTTGATGTGTCTCATCATGATCTGGAATCTGGAACCTGACTTATTGCAGAGGAATAATAGCTTCCTCTTCATCAGCAAATACCTTCTCTCTTGCTGTAGCTCTAGCGATGTCAATGTTCAGATGTAACTGCTGAATCTTAGATTGTGTTTCAAACATTGATTTTTCTGTGCAAAGTTCAGCAAGTTTAGCTTTCTCCATTTCACGTGCAGATTGAGTAGAACTGGCATGAGAGATTTGAGATTTACAGGATATCTGAGATCTTTTATCATCTGCTGAATCTTGGCAAACAGATTGAATACGTACTTGCTCGAACAACTCACGTTCAGCGTTTTCAATCCAGCTCACAGCCAAGTCATGAACATGCTTGATGTCTCTCAGTTTAGCCCTGGCGTGCTGCACAGCGGCAGCTCCAGCTTCCTCGGTGTCAAGAGAAGTGGAATAAATACCATAAGAAGTTTGATAACAGGAAGACAAATCATGTAATCTGTGAATACACGACCTAACTAAAGGCAAATTACCATTATCAAACAATGATTCAAGTTAGAAAGAGCACCAAGTCTTCTTAACAAACGTAAATGTTCACTTTTGCCTTGTCAGTCAGGCTTCTCAGACGCTGAATACGTTGATCAATGTCCAGAGAACTGTCGCTATCACTGTTATATTTTCAGCCATTGTGTTTGAGAAACAAGTCAGCTATGCACAAACAAGTCACATCATATAGCATGTAGAATATGTACACGTTGAACAGGAACAATGTCACGTTGAATTGATGAATAGTAACCAGTATTGGATACAACAAGTTCAAACACGAATACGCGTTAACTTTGCCACAGTGTTTTTGCCACACTGTTTAACGTTGCAATCATTGCGAGCTGTACACCATACGTACCTCACTGTCTGCAAAAACATTATAACAAATGTAGATGCAAGAACAAAAAGATCCGATACTCGCATCAGAGTTTATTATAACTCTTTTCTTGTAAGAATTTATCCTTGAAACATGAACATGATATCCTTTAAACGTTGACATAGACTGGTGAACGGTTGTACAACGAATCAGGCTGAGAACGGTTTCACAGCTGATGAGCATCGATGAAAACTGATGAGGTTAAAATAACTACAATATAAGCAAAAACAATTCCACAATCTTCGCTCATTAAGGCACTTTAAACTTATTTACTTTTGGCATTAATAAACTCTACAATGCATATTGAAATTGTACAAGGACATATGGCTGACTGAACATTTGAACAACACTTCGTTGAACTGTTATCAAAATCGTTTACCAATAATTCATTATTAATACAAATGATAATAATGAAATAAGTTAGAAATGATGAGTTGAAAGTAACTTACATTTGTTCCTTGACATGCAGTGATTCGGAGACAGTGAGGTGAAGCAACTTTCCAGCATGGTGGTCAGATACAGACTTATGTGCATGCTTTTCCAAACCATGTGCTTTCTTAGAGAGGTCATGTGATAAACACGTGCCAGAAATGTGGCTAATTTAAATACGTTATGTACATTAGTTACAAAAGTTTAGTTGGTGTAAGTGGGGTTTGAACCTGCAACCTTTGGATTACACATCCACAGCCTTAACCAAAGAGTTGAGATATTTGAATGTGAAATTTTAGTAAACTTAAGTTTAAACTTTAAACAATGTTAGCACATTTTATGGAATAATGAAACATGCAATCTTGCGTTTACACAGGGCACTGCAAGAAACTGTAAATGAGCGTGTGGCGTTGCGGGTATGAATGTGGTTACTCGGCCTACAACAAGACTGACGGTTTTGCCGTCGGTGAAGGTGTGTGAAGCAAAGCTGTTCAAACTGTCCTTGTATTAAAGAATTGACACTTGGAAAAGTCACGAAGAGGAAATTTGTTTCAAACATTGTAAATGTTTTACTTCTTAGTATTTAGCTTAATTACAAAAAATACATTAGTGACTGGTGGAAATGCAAGTTGATTGAAGCTATCTTCATCAACCGTACAGAAACAGCAATAAACAGGGATCTGGGTGTGTATCTCCAGAAATAGACAATACCCTTCCTTCGTCACTGTTTCATTTAAAACACTGTACCCGCGTATAAACCATAATTTATATGTTTACTGTAATTACTTTACATTCTATACATGTATAAATAAGTATATGTACATTTCTAAATTAATCCAATAATTTGCAGTAAACAATATGTTATATATTCATAATAACATGTATTCCTATTAGCCCTGCTAGCTGTATCCATTATGACCTCCACATGTATTGCGTCATCATAGCATTGTGACGTCATGGGCACAGTGAACTGTTTATTAGTTTTACCTGATGATGGGGCCGGAACAGGCCAAAAAACGAATAATTCCAGAAAATTCTTCACGTTCAAGAGCCGAATTAGTTATGTATATCATTGATTTCCAAGTTGAAACTAACGCAGTAGTTAATCGGAAATAAGTCCGTAAAAGAACTTATTGTGAAATCAACAAACAGCAAAGCAATCTGACATAATTAGCAGTGCATTCTAAAATTAACTTGGTGTAGTTGGTTGGTTGGTTAATTGGTTAGCGGCGCACTCAGCAATATTCCAGTTATATTGCGGCGGTCTTGACCAGACAATCCAGTGACCAACAGCATGAACATCGATCTACGTAATTGGGATAGGATGACGTGTGTCAACCAAGTCAGCGAGCCTGTCCACCTGATCCCGTTAGTCGCCACCTACGACAAGCATGGGTTTCTGAAGAGCAACCCGAATCTTCACGGGTCACTTAGTATAATATTTAGTACTCTTCCCCACAAAGGTATTACAGTGGCAGGACAAGTTGAATACAAAATCAATTCTTATACTAATAAAGACAGACAGGATAACACTCACCTAACTGCAACGATGGTCAACTTATTAAATAAAGGTTATCCAGGGTAAACATGACATACATACAGTTGCTGGTCTTCTTATAACTTGTGACGTAATCTCAGATGAGAGGCAAGACTTAAAGCCTATAAACTGCTAACATCAAATAAGAGGCAATGGTTTGATGTCTGTCTGCTTTGCCACACACATGGAGCTTGGAGTTTAATGAGGTCTAATGAACACTGATCACTAATGCATTAGCATGTGTGAAGACTTATGTGGAAATAACGTGTCAGAAATTAATTCTGGAAACCTTGCCCGGGAACTCACCGCACTGTGGCCAGATTCAACAGATTCATTGACGAAATTCAGCATGCTGTTATCATGGATATATAAGGATGATAAAATGGACAAACAAATTCGGGAACTAAAAATTTAAACTAGCTTGCTATGCGATATGTGTCGGATGGCAGTTGAGTTAGTGAGCAATTACCTCCGATGTCACACCGGATAGTAATCGGACGGTGTTAAATATCATGTTACCCTCCGGGGAGAATCGAATTGGTGATGGGCGACTATCAGGCGCGTCAGGCACACCGCAGACTGCAATCAAATGAGCGTCAGATGACTGTTAATCATCGGATACTTATCAGATTGACGTCAGACGTCGGCTGGACACGTCCGGTAGTTACACAACACGAATCTAACACACATCGGACTGACTCGACATTCATCCGACTCTGACTCGATTTGCGACCGGAAATAGCGTCCGATGGCGAACTAAGCTCTGAGCTTAGTTCCTTCATCGGACGATTTTGTCGCATCGGATCACGCCCGACACGTCGGACACTGATCTGATAGTCGACAAACACAAATCGGATTCCTCGGTGGGTTACGGGAAGGGAAAAACTTTGGTTCCGATGAGTCCGAAATCTCTGTGGAATGGGGGTGTAAATAGAAAGAAAAATAACCCGACTAGTGACAATCTCATTAGACATTTATATGCATGTACAAGTCTGATATAAATCAACGTAGGTTTGCTCATTAAAACGGAAATGGAGGTACAAAAATTAACAATGTCACATGGAGTCAGAACAAGATTTTTTTAAGTTTGAGTGACTAAAATTCATTTCATGCTGTTTTTCACACAAGGCAGCTGATAATCTGTACTCTTTTCATTGTGCAGGTCTTGGGTCCTATAACAGTGTACACACAGGCGGCAGTGTTCACACCACCAATCACTGTTGGCTTACACGACAACCACCTTGTCGCCACGTGGACAGCTGGTTCATTCACAGATATCAAGCAAGACTATCTGACCTTCGAATTTGCTGTTGGTGCGTATCTGTTGAACGGAGCTCGAGCTGTCAGAAATTATAGTATGTTATTTCTACCTATCAAAACAGTTTTAGGCCACAAAATGATTCAAACATACGTTTATAGAAAGAATGGTCCATGTCCTAATCCTGAATCATCGTCTGATAAGTATGTAGACACCAATAATACAATCTGTAAACATTGGGATTTTTCATTTGACATTTAATTCTAAACTACAGGATTATAACTAAACTCAGAAAAATAACTTATTTAAGTGAAATTTAGAAGCTGATATGATGAAGAGGAACACCTTTTATGGATAGACAACTTCTATGTTGTAATAATTTGCTTGATAATAGTATTAGCGTCTACACATTGCAATAAACAAGTTATTTATTCATAACAAGTGTTCCTCTTTAGAAAAGTGTTTTAACACTTGTTGCAATATATGTTGTCTTCAGGTTCCTCCCCGGGTGGCTCCGAGATCCTCCCCTCCCTCCCTCTCCTGTCTGGCGGAGGGTGTACTGTCACCAGATCGCCATCGTGTACAGCTGTCGCCACCGGCGACCTCCACTGGGATCTGCATCATGCACAAACCTACTATGTATCGGTGAAAGTGTTCAACATTGTTGGACTGTGGACAATTGGTGTGTCGGAGCCTTATGTCCATGATGTCCGACTACCGTCTCGGGGAGTGGTTTTGATATCTGTCCACAGAAAGAACAAGAACTTTTTGACATCACGGTAAATTAACCTGTGTCATATAGGTTGAATATCTGCATTTAGTATGCTATATTTTATAAGAAAATATATATATTTCATTTTGAAACCACATCAAAATATTCAATAGTTGTTTTTAATGTTTTGGGGATCTTGTCTCTTTTCAGGACTTCGTGGATTCCGATCTCCAGTTATCCACCACCACACTTGAAGCAAAATGGTTTGGGTTTGACGTTGGTCGGTCTGGGGTCAAGTACCGCGTCTGTATTGGGACAACTCCTGGAATGCAAAACGTCCGAGCTTATGAAGATGTTGAAGAATCCATGTCACACAAGTTTAAGAACTTGATACTTAATGTGAACACTGTAAGTGAACATGGATAGACCTGTCATTGGATATCAAATATGTTCAGGTTACACGTTTCACCATTTAATAGACAACATTGGATAACCTTTACTTGCAAAATTATAATGAATTTCAATAGTGGAAAAGTATAATACTTTATGGATAAGAACTTATCTATTTCTTTTTTTCTTGTTGTTTCTAGTTGTTCTCCATAAAGTATTATACTTTTCGAGTATCCATCAACTTCTAAAATGCCAATCAAACAGAATTTCAATAGTGGTTTAATCTGCCTTTCTTTTCATGAGCAAGTATGCAACCTTTTACTTGTTGCCCATCTTCTATCACAGGTGTTCTATGTGACAGTAAAGGCATGGACACCTGCTGGAGAAGTCAGTCAGTCAACGGATGGGGTCAGGATCATCAGATACAATGAAGATGTAGGTGGCCGTGTCACAGTGAGAGATGGAGACAGATGTTCAAATGGTAGGATGGCATAGTGTATAAAAGTTTGTTTATCTCAACATATTTGGACCTGACTATTGTTTCTAATTAATGTAAATCACTCATTCTCAACATGCACATTTACTCCATTGCGTTATCGCATAATTGCAAGTGCAAAAATATTGAACTTCTTCACAAACGTTAGTTTGGAAATAAAGATACATTCTGTGTTAATTTACCATTACCATTTCCTTAATACATAAAAAATACGATATTTTTAACATCCCATTTTAGTTGCAAGTTGCATGTCGCCAGCGACGGTGTATGTATTTGTTGCATCAAAAACAACACTCGTGATAGTGAATGTATCAAGTTTCATGCATCATGTGGAAGATAGCATGTTGAATTTTACTGTGAGGTAGTCATTTAACCTAATATTTGAGAGTATAAGTCAAATTTTAATGACATTCCACTGTCGCCAATTCTTTTGCATTTTACGTTTTGCTCCAAAAGAAAGAAAACAACGTCAAAAGAGAAAAAAATACATCCAGTAACTTTAAGAAAGTAATTGCTCATGCTTTATTGAAGACACTGAAGATCAAATCCATTTGTTGTAATAACTTCTTAAATTATAAATATCTTAGGAAGATACAATGTACATGTATATACAGTATAGATACGGGTGTATTTTATGTTACGACGTTATAAGACCTTATACATAACCTAAGCACATCTATATGATCATCTGGTAAGGAGTATGCAACCTAGTTCCTTTTCCCGTCTTCTATATTAGTACTATATCATTTGTTTAACTTGCGTGGCTCATATTAATGACTGATGTATTTAACGTTACGTATTCTACGTAACGGTATTTTACGTTACAGTTCCATATATGGCTATTTAACATCACATAATGTGAGCTTTTAATTTATGGCTAGATTTCTCTTCTGTCGCCAATGGCTGAAGGGATGGTGTAAATCCAACTAGGATCCATGTAGGTAGCAAAAGTAATGTAAGTCCCCATGGATCCTAGTATGGTGATCTACCTTCAGTTATTGGCGATCTATAGTCCGTTTTTATATTGTATTGTCATTTCAAATTAACATATTTTAGTTTAATTGCTGGTTTTACAAACATATCTGTGATATTCTAGTTGTTTTACTGCCCTTCGTTGGCAGGTTTTTTATATTATACACATATTCCATTTCAATCTCAAATGTTCTCGTCACGATATGGCTGAAATATTGCCGATGTGACGTTAAATAATAACTCACTCACTCACTCACTCCCTCACATAATGTGCATACGCCACTAACGAATTAGTGCATGCTGCTCATGATCTGAAGCTCTGACGGATTAAATCATCGGTATGTAATTACTGAACTTTCAACCTTATGATTCTTGTATTTGTGTACAAGTCAAACTGTTAAACGTTTATCATTGCGTGTTATGAAGATATTCTAATAAGGTGTATCGTGTATAATCATGCTTGGTAATGCAAAACATACTGAAATTGCCGCATTCGTAACGTAAAATACAGTTGCTGTGACGTAAAATACAATTAGATTATACTGGCGTTAAATGAACATAAATGCCTATATAACCCAACGTTTGTTGTTAAACGTTTGTTAAAGATATGTAATTAATTTATTTCTATTTGCAGTGTTCTGAAAATGTGAAAAACCGCAGCCGTTATGTTTGACAGTATCTTACGTTACAGTTGTATTATATGTTTATTACCTTACAGTGATACATTTGATAACCACTATGGGGCAGATGAACATATGTCCAGGTCGCATAACTTCTTGACGTGGTCTATAAATATTGTAATGTCAGTGTACGGCATTCAATATTACTTTAGATGAACTAGAGAATCTATTTGGAAATTCTTGTTTCACCAGTCAATATAACGGTCAAATTCTGTAAAGCATCTCTTTACTCTTTTGATTTATTTGTGTTCAAATTAAGCTTAGTTTTCTTAAATGTTTTTATCAAACAATTAAAACAGGTTGTACTATAGTTTTACATATATCAACATTAAATTATTTTGCGTAACGTAAAATACACTAGTAAATAGAAAAAACACCCACTGCTACTAAATGCCATTTACTGACAAACCATAAGACACTGTATACTATCAATCTGTATATAGCTCAAGGAAATAATACTTGTCGTTGTCATATCAAAGAAATTGTGTTCAGATAAGAAAAATCCGATTTCCATGATCACAAATGCACGCTGACTGAAAATGAGTGAAATGCTTTAAATAGTGAGAATACAGATGTAATGCTATTTTCCATGCAGGACTTCACAATCAGACAACAAGCAAGACTAGCACACGAGATGCACCTGTAAGTATACCATACTTCCTATTCTCTAGACCCGTGAAGATCCGGGTTATAATAGTAATCTCCAGTAACCCATGCTTGTCGAAAGAGGCGACTAACAGGATTGGGTGGTCAGGCTCGCTAACTTGGTTGACACATGTCATCGTTTCCCAATTGCGCAGATCGATGCTCATGCTGTTGATCACTGGATTGTGTGGTCCAGACACGATGATTTACAAACCGTAGCCATATAGCTGGAATATTGCTTAGTGCGGCGTAAAACTAAACTCACCCACTCACTCACTCCCACTCTCTAACGGCGTGTCCCGAGAACTCATGCCTCGTAAAGATTCATTTCTCGTACATTCATGTTTATTTTTGGATTTTGTATCTTGCACTCTGTCATCAGTGTGTTCCTGATCTGATCTACCAAGCGTCCACATCCATGTTTGCAGCCTACTGGGAAGTGACTGGTTTCAACATTTCTTACACTGATGTCCAGATATCTGTTGAAAGAAAATTCCACGGGTCAGGTATATAATCTTATCATCACCTTTTTACAGACCATAAAACACTTTTGTTGTAACTGATCTTTTACTTTGATAGGCCCCATCTGATAGCGGATAAACGTCTGGCATAGTTTATTATACCTATTGATGTAGGATAAAAGCTATTCCTGTTCAGATAAACTGAGAACACTGAAAAAGCATCTAACTTAGTACAATAGAATCTCTGAATTAAGGGCGTCGTTTTGGAATGCAAATCAGATGTCCAAACAAATGTAGTAATGGAATACATTTTAACAGTTTAAAAACTATTACAATGTAATTTCACACACACACACACACACACACACACACACTATATATATATATATATATATATATATATATATATATATATATAGCTATCCTCAGCAAATTAGTGCGGATTGTTACCGTAGTTTTCACTAACTGTGTGGTAGTAATCAAAATATAATAAAGTTTCTTTTGTGTTTTGGAGAATTTGGAATATTGAAATATCCATCATTTCGTCATTAAAACTCTCTCTTTGAAATAACCTTTCTAACATCTTTACACAAGAGAATAAGGTCTGGAAAAAAACAACATGAGTGCTGGGTCTTGCCCTTGAAACTCTGCCAAAAGTTTCATAACCCGAAGAGGTTCGTCAGCAGACAAATTGACCAATTATTGAGAACTGTCCTTTGAAAAGTACAGGTCAATATAATTATTCATTAAAGTGCATGTCAAATCACCATTGAAGTCATTCTCAGATGAAATTTGCTTAGCTGTAGCACAAGAACACCTGGAGAAAATACACCTAGATTGTATTTTTAACATTTTCCATACTTTCATGAGTGTTGTGCTCGTGCCAAAAAGATATGATAAGTCAAACATATTCCCTTTCGAAATCCTACACCTCCAACAGGGCGAGTTTCTACAACCAAAACCTTAACGAACACAGACACCAAAGTTTTAATATTCACAAAATGATGGCTTTAACTGCTGCTTCCTCCGAGAGCGGAAAAATACCATCCCCATTCGAACAAGGAGACACGTATCCTGAACTTAAGTGCAACCTGACCTATAGTCAGCAAGCGCGGAACCAGACATAGAAATGTTACAATGAGCAATATGAGGTGATGAGGTATCATATTCTGAATCCGATGAACTCATGCCTGAAAACCCCGACTGCCTTCATTCAGCCTTTTGGGTCGGTGAATAATCATTCGCTAAAGAAGCAGTATAGTAACTGATTGACTTCCTGTTCATCAAAGATTTTGCCCGAATGTGTTCTGACACACAGTGTTTGAATTCCTCTAGCAAAACTAACTGCTTCAAACTATCAAAAGTGCCACGTCGTCTTCAGATGTACACTCTCTATCACGGACACTTTCAGTTACCCATTCATAAGGCTTTAAAATGGCAGCCTTGAGAATTTGATAATTAAAACTCCGTCAAACTCCTTCATTCTGAATGTCCTGAGCGTTACCCCAAAGTATACTTTACATCAACATAGTCCAATAACTGTGGGGCAGTTTAAACTGTTAACTTCATTAAAATGTATGAGCGACATATCACATGCACAGAAAATAGGAGCGGGTTTGGAACGATCAAACGATTTAACACCTGTTGAGGTACTGATCATGAGAAAGAGTTTGCATAGCCAATTATTCTCTTTCAAATTCTATTTTTAAAAGATAAATCAATCACATATAAAGTGCCATAAGCCAATATGTCTTCTTCAACCAGGTAAGTGGTAACGCTATCCTGACATCGGTATTTAGTATGCCTGATTCGATGAGAAAAGTGTAAAATTTGGCAAGTTCATGCTTTTTAGCTTGGACCGTATAACTGTATATCATGATTGATGGATAGAAGACCCCAATAAACACCAAAGCTATTGTTGATTAAACACATGTTAGACAAAAAGATGTTCATCCAATTATTTGGACAATTAGGTTTGTGATGTATTAAATTTCTATTCAGGACGAGTCCCAAATTTCTGTTATGTGATGTTTCTAACTGAAAGTAGAAATAGCAATAAAAACAGTGATAATAATGTTCTTCAAGCAGCAATACTGGACCAATTTCCAAAAGAGGCTAATGTTGCATATTCAGGGTGACTACCACTATTTCTGGTGTAATCTACAGATAGCAACTGCTTACATCAGATCGTAATGCATTTCCAAGAACTAATTGTTGTTAAAAGACGCTGTGGACGTCTATGAATCAATATGAAACGTCTATGAAACAGGAACAATGTTACATAACGACACTGTTGGACAATAACATTACACTGCAAAATATTACAAAAACTATCTGATTAGTTTCAAAGGTCATTGTAAAAATATTTGGAATCATAAATAATAATAGAAAGGCAGATACTGAATTCGAATTAACAGGAGATTTAGGATTGCTACACTAGTTCATTACTAATCACCTTTCACATGTTTGAATGCACTGGCTATTAGGGTGGACTACTAGTAAATATATACTCACGATATAAGTGATAAATATATCATGGTAATGTGTTCAAAGATAACATGAAGAAAATCTACATATCTTGCACATTTCATGCAATCTTACATTAAAACAAATGCCTAAGATACTTACAATCTATCACCAGATGATCTGTGGCACACTGTTGATGGGTACACAAGTCTAGGAGTCGCTGACAATACAGTGTTAAGTGGACTTTCCCTGGACCCTGGACACACCTTCAGGGCTGCCGTCATGTTTTGTGTCGTGAGAGTCTGCACCAGGCCCGTGCACAGCAATGGAGTGACTGTAGTTCCCCATCCCCCTGTAGCTGGGGGCATCAACATTACATATTCCGAGACAGAGATCTCGTCACAAGTGAGCACAATGGTAGCCAGTCATGTTATGAGGGAATGTCCAGAATTACCGTTTCAGCTATGAGAAATATACAATGTCATGAAAGACGTTAGCTCTTCCATATACTCCATACAGTGTTAACATACTGGCCTAAGGTCTAACATTGAGACATCATTACTTACAGTCGCACTCATGCAATAGGCCATCATGTCCATATTATAGTGTTTCAACAAATTGATGATACATTATACAGGAATCACCTTCAGTTGTTCTTTTTTTTCATCGGTTATTGTATGATGGAACAATAAACACAAGTTGCAATAGTTGCACTTTCCTTTATTCTTTGCATAGCTGGAGGTTGCAATGGATCGTTTCCGCGATCGCGACATACCTGCTACGTCTGAGTCGTATGCTGTGATTGAAAGGTATGAATGGAGTTTGATCGATCCTGGACTCCTCACCGAGTGGGCACCTGTGGCCAATCTGACTGATCAGGAAAGTCAGGTAACTTAAGAAATAAGAAAAGGAATACGAGAAAACTACCGATCCCATTTATAAAACACCGTTTTGATTTCAACATGACACGATTCGTGATAATCACATACATTTTTTGGTCTGGCAACTGGTCAGGTTTTATTCAAGATCAGCTTCTCCAGACCGCTAGATTTCAGCAAGTGCCGCCGGCTCGCCGTCAGAGGGTACAATAAAGTAGGGCTCACTACCGTAGTGTCTGCTGATGTCAGAAACTGCTCTGCCTTTGATGAAATTATGGTGAAGCCTTTGTTCGTCATTGACGCCACTGGTTAGAAATTTGCAATAACGGTATAACATTCAATCATTGGATATGATAATTTTACATATAACTCAGTAGGATGTTTTTGGCAACATTATATAGTAAATACTATACTGAATGGATAAAAGTCAGAAGGTGCTGGATCACTGGTTCGATATTTTAAACATATAACTGCACATATACATGGTTACATGCATGCCATTTATTCCCTGGTAGGATCAAAGATTGCACAAGGCATTGGGAACGACATCATCTTAGAACAAAATGCCCTCTGGCCCATGCTGGATGTCGACTATCCTCCCTACAAAAACATCCTGTCAGCTGTGTGGCCAAGTCTACGTCACAGGAAGTACAAGTGGGCGGTGGTAGCTGGTGACAAGCTGGACCCTACATCTCACTTCAAGCGGCAGAGTCTAATGACTGTCTCTGACCCATGTGCCTTGGCCGATGTCATCAAGTGTGGAGAAACAGGTGAAGCTGTGATGAGCACAGAATATTTGTCGGTGGCCTCACAATCATTTGTATGTAGTTCCTTGTTGATAACAGGAGTATATTCGTTTAAATTCAACTAATTTATCAGTTCGAATTTATAACTTTACTAGTTTTTCACCATGTTCTATGTGCTTTCAACAAGACCATTTGCTACGTAAATTAAACAATCATCATAAAGACACATCTTCATAAAGTTTTGCTGTGTGTCTTATGTTGTAAAAATTGACGACAATTGGAGTATTTACATTGTGTCTTTTTGTTGTCTAGGGAAGGAATATGTCAACGTACACTTTGACCAGAAGGAAGAACTTCCCCATGGGCACAGGTTCTACGTCTGCATTCATGCTGATGAGATGGAAGTGACTTATGAGAAGTGGCCAACTGTCTTGGAAGAGGTGAATGCTTGCAGTGACGGTATCACTGTTGACCTCACTCCACCATCTGAAAGCTCGATCACCATCCAAGGGCTAATAGAAAACGTATATCAAGTATGTCAAATAATTATCACTTAATTTCATTGCCTGTTGTATTTTATGTCTTTGTGTTGGTAACAAAAATATATTCCCTTGGTTTCAAGGTATCAATTGACACACAAATTTCACACGTGTTTGGGACAGGCGCCATTAGTGGTTCTACATACACTCTCGTTTTTGCGAAAACCTGATGTTGTAACTACTGGATTCTGTTTTGTTAACTCAAGGTTATGACACACTGGGAATCGAACAATGACTTTGTCTTTTAGTGGAGCTTTGTCATGTATATGAAAAGTGAGTGAGTGAGATTGTAAGTCACATTGGCAGCATTTCAGCCATATCGTGTTATATATTAATAATAATTACAGGTAAAGTATAATAACTTGGCCATGAAGGACAGTAAAACAACTAGACTATCACATATATAAATTTAAAATAAGTAATTAAATCTAAAATATATTAACTATAAATGACAATGCAATATGAAAACAGGCTATAGACTGCCAACAACAGGCAGATCGCCATACTAGGGACCATGGAGATTTACAGTACATTGGGTTCCTGCATGGACCCTAGATGGGTTTACACCATCCCTTCAGATGTTAGCAATGTTTGACAATCTAGCCATAAATTAAAATAACATATACGCTGCAGTTACAAAAAACAAGTAGTACGTTTAAGTTTACTATAATTGTTTTGGTACTTACGTACCCTCTCAGGAGGTATTCGAAAAGTATTTCATCACTTATGTTCAGTTTAGTAACATCTAGACTGACTCGGTAGTAATCAAATAAAGACTCTTTGTGCTTTGTGGGTGTGTGCATGTGTGCGTGTATGACGGAGGGGGGGGGGGTGCGAGAATATTTTCCACCTATACTTTGGATACTTTTGACCTTCTGTCCTAATGCTGAAAGAGACATAATCCTAGCACTTCTGGTCGCATTTATACAGACTTAGCGGGTATTTTCTGTTGTTCTTATATAGTTAACACCTGAAATAGTGATGGTCGATCAACCATGAAACTAGCAATATTATTGCAGATCAGCACATCTGAGGTGGTTCTTGACTGGTCTGGTTTTGTTGATGTGGAGACGGAAGGATTGACTTCACATGCGAGCGCCATCACCTTCTATCAAGTTGCCTTAGGTAGGATAATATTGTGGATAGATGTATGACACATAATTTGTGTAGATGTTCATTTCTTATGTTAAATATTCTGAGAGGGAGCTGAGGAACATAGACTTTGTATAACTATTGAAAAATCAGCAGATTAGTATGTAATGTACATGTATGTTACTGTCTGGACTGTTGAACTGACAAATGGATTCATGCGACAGGGACTATGCCAGAAGGGGAAGACATCATAGCGTTCTCAAGCGTTGGACACGTCCACCACACCACGCTGTCAGGTCTTCAACTACTAGTAGTATATACAATGGGGGTTCTGGATCACTTTCAACAAAGCCTCTGCAAAGCCTTATTTGGTAAATAAGGCTTTTGTCGGGCCCTTAGCTCTTGCTACCATTTCCCCTACTATGAAAAAGTTTGGGCCGATAGCGGTTCTGGATCACTTTCAACCAAAGCCTCTGCAAAGCCTTATTTCACAAGTAAGGCTTTGGTCGGACCCTTAGCTCTTGCTGCCATTACCCCTACTACAAAAGTTGGGGGACCTCCTAGCCGCGCTACCGGGGGCATGGCTGGAGTAATGGGTATTGCCCCATCCAATACTGGGCTGGCCGCTATGGCACTATGCCATGTTTACCTCGATGAAACAGTTTAATGTGAATCGCCTATGATCTCTTTGGTGTTTGTAATAAAGGCTTGCCGGGCTTTTTTCACCCCTTGTTCTATGTACTTTTTTTTCTCGTCCTCGCTGATAGTAGACTTACGAGACTTGGACCGAATATCTTGTTTCATTTTGTTATATTTTGTGAGTTCAGAGAGGATTGAACTAAACTCCTCCTCTGAGATCTTACTGTCAGTGAGTGCAGTGGAAATACGCTCACTTACTGTGTTCAGCTTTGCTTCAGCCAGAACTCTGATCTCGTCGTGTTTCAATGCCTTACGATGCAGTCTACGTGATGCCAACTTAAGCACCAACCCTAACACCCCTGCCACCCCAGCTGTTATTTCAATACCTAGTACTATAGGTGCAGCCACGATGGTAGCTAACAACCCAACACCTGCCGCTCCCAGCCCCATGCTGGTTGCCATAAGGGCAGCGTCAGCCCCGTCCACGATATTGAAAGCTCTATGGTACTTTTTACATAGTGCTTTACGTGTGTCGCGGTCTTGTTCTAGTTGGCGTTTCACATCACATAACTGCCTCAAGCGGAACCCGTCTACGGTTTCCAGGGTCTTCGCTACGTCCTCTACGACTGGGTATAGCCCCATCCTATAATATATATTTCAAAAGATATTTTAATTGGGTTTCATTTAATCTTCGCTTAACGTACTTGAGACTTATAAGGCGCAAATGCTCATGTAGGAAAATAGGTGAGAGTGCAATAGGTGACGTTGTTTTCACATGAAACTCCTCAAAGTGGCGGCTTATTATCCACCCATAGTAGGGGATTATTAAGGAGATTGCACGACCCGTTGAGGGGTCCGGTTGTATGACGATACGGAAACGTTTCAACCTGGCCTGGGAACTCCAGCGTACAGTCACCCCGGGTAAAAGTTGTTGTTCTGCAGGAGCAATATTCTGTATTAAGACGTCCATGATGAGTGTGGAGCCTGGTGCTATAGATGTAATCCTTGTGTACCCGCGGCAGTCATACCTTAACTCACCCCCGAGGGATGAATATAACTTATTGGGGTTCAAGCTTAGTGAAATCTTTGTATTAGGGGCCGGAATGAAACACCCGGGCTGGGTACCGCTATTCTTAACTTCAGAGATATAATTATGTTCATTGTATGTGATATAAGGTGAGGTGAGGGTTAAGTTGATTAGCCATTCGGGTTCTTTAAAATCTGATAACGGTATCTGCCTATACACTTTGTCTTTGAAGTGTAGGATGTATAAGGTGTCTTCCTCAGGCTGATCGAATCCCTCTAGGTCCTTGAGTGTGAGTTTGGGTAGATGATCGGCTATTGCTGCCCGCCTATACACATTGTCTTTCAAGTGTAGGACGTACGAGGTGTCTTCCTCACCAGGCTGATCGAATCCCTCCGTGTCCCCTAGGTCGTTAAGCGTGGTGTTGGGGTGATGACTGGTCATTGCTATAATACTATTACGAGATAATTTCCAACTGGTTTTCTGATAATAGTTCAGGGGTTAACTTCACCCCCATGAAGTGTATGTTGTCAGGTAGGAAGATCTTGGTTAGTGATATAGTGTTTTCCACGATCACGGTGACACCCTGCAGACTGGTGTTGGAGCCGACACCCACCCGCACGTAAACTGTGCAAACGTGATACTGGTGTCGTTTCACCCACCCAAGTTTGATCCCCTTCACGATCTCGACATCATTCCCCGATGGTTCCCCTAGGTAGACTTTGATGATCAGTGTTGAGTTCGCCGGTAGACTCTCTAGTATCCTGACCACGCCTTCAAATTCAGACACCAACTGCAATGTCACGTTTTGCATGCCTGGTTTACTCGATAGCATGTGGGCTGCCATACTGGCGACTGGGCTGATGACTACGCTACGTCTCTGAGTCGGGACGTAAGCCACGAGCAGGGTTCCGTTGTTAACGACTTTGTTTAGGTGGTTGTCTTTGTTATCCGTGAACACGGGGGGAGCCGAGCCTAATATTGAGAAACCAGTCGTCTTTATCTGGTATCAACACCCACTTGTCATCTTCGGTGAAGACGAGCATATATGGCTTGTTTCGGGCGACGGTAGTGCTCTCAACATCGTCTAAGTCGAACAGTTTGCCCCCGAACGATGGGTATATTATCCAATTATCATTACCGGTGGTGACTAGGGTGTACTTAGTGTTGACTACCGCTCTTGAGGTATCTACTATATCACCTAGGGCTCCACCGGAGGGGACTTCAACGCGTTTGTAAATGTTGTTTTTCAGTTGCAAGGCGTACAATTTACCATCTACTCCGGGAGCGTCGAAACCGCGCGGTGTCCCCGAGGTCGGAGATCCCCACATTGACGCATTTTTTCACCCCGGCCCTTGTGCGCTGGTCATTTTATGTGAAGCGTTAAGCTGAGGTATCCTATATTCACGGGATTATGATTTATATCTAACACCGATATTATCAGCTCAGGTATGTTGCCCTGAGTCAACCTCTTATACTGCCGCGGTGAAAACGACTCGGTTCTACCGTCGTTGTATTTCTCCGTTTTCACCGCACGGCTCTCAGTATAGTGGAAGGGTGACCCCCTTGAATGTTGTACGTTGTGCTCACCTGACCTAGATGAATGTACAGCTCTCGGTACGGTACTAGGTCGGGTAACCTCGTGCCTGTGACGGTTGTTGTTGGTTTTATCTCGTCAGGTGACATACCGAGTGTCCTCGCCAATGGCCGGCCGAGCCTCAAGGAGTTTCTTCCGTTGTTGATTAACACCACTGTGCCGTTTGAGTCGTTCATCTTGAGTTCGGCTCCCAGGGGGTTTGAAGACCTCATCGCTTAGCGAGCACACGCTGTAGTAGCCGTCAGTTATCTGGCTGCGAGTTCCACTAACGAACAGCTTATTGTTGCTGGCGTTGATGTTAGTCCATTGCGGTAGGTAGGTGATATCGCAGAGTGCGACTTCGAGTTGACAGGACGTATTATCGATCGCGTGCGTCAGCTGAACTGCCTCGCCGCTCGTTATTCCTGGAAGTGTTATGTACATGTTAGAGTATATATGCTCATTATATAATAGTTTTAAAATGTACTCCCCTGGAGTGTTTTACCCTAAACTGGACATAGATTTCTCACCCATGAAGATCGCGGTTGCTGATGGGATGTATTTCAACGCCCAGCTTTTAGATGTGTTCAGCCTGTATAAATTTTCGGTGACTAACGCTAAGGTAGTTCATGCTTGGTTCAACAACCCGATGCAGTTCTGGCAGAATCAACTCAACTTCGCCGTGTGGTGCGCTACAACGGGGTGTGGTGTGACATTGACCGACACTCGGCGTGGACCGCTGAGTCAGTCTGTGTTCAAGTTCCACGTGTACTACCAGGTCAGGCGTATCCTTAAAGAAATCAGCGTCCCGCTCCCACAGGACAATGCATGGAACCCATTAAACAACAAGTACGATAGGCGAGCCTACGAACGTATTTGCAACGAATTCGAACTAAACCCGAAGACGGATTGGCGTTTGCCGGGGCCGAACCACGGGTTGGGTATCCCCATCGTTCACCAAATGCCCCTTGTGGAAGCCAGCAAACTGCTGGTGAAAGATTGGGGATACAAGTCGTATCATCTCTTCACAACCAACGAGTGGGATGACCGTTACATGGCTTTCAATGCCAACAAGGAGTACAGAGTTTGGAGGTTTGATCAGGGAGGGGCAGCAGATGACTGGAAAAAGTTTATGTTGGACACGTCGAAAGGGTTTACTCGTGCCGGCACTGAACGCTTAAACGACTCGATTCGAACGTACGTGTGGGCGGTGTTGGGTGCGCAGACGCAAACGCGTTCCAGTATTATCGGTAAGGGGACTGCTTACGACGCTCAGAAACAGTTCGTTGCCAACGTTGAGGATGCTATCAATGCTCCAGTTGATCTCCCGAGTGCCATCAAACGCTACCAAGACGTGTTGGAATATGCCAGGTCGAAAGTTGACTACGTCTTCGACGTGGGGTTGTACATGGCTCCGAGTGATATGCAACTGAGGGTAAAAAAAGTAGTGGGCTACAACAACAAAATAGTTGTAGCCACGGCGGACCAAAAGTTGGGCATCAACCTCGATGTCAACGTCCCCCACGTCCCACCACCCACGACCGGTGAAACGGGTATAGTGGCGCCACCCCCGGAGCCTAGGGTTCAACCAACACCCCCTGTGGGGGTGGCCCCACAATCCAATCAGCAGCACATCGATAGTAAAACAGCCCTGGTGGTTGGTGGGGTTGCTGTCGGGTTGGGTCTTATTTGGTTAAAAATTCCTTAGCCGCTACGTACACCAAACCCACCATGGCGACGATGGCTGCCCACAGGTTTTGGCTAAGCCACGTGGCAGTTTTAGCCAGAGCGCCTAACAACCACGAGACGATGCTACCAAGGATGCCGGGCAGGGCTTCGGCAGCCTTACCAGCTAGTTTAGCCAGTGCCTCCCCTAGTTTTTTTATCCAGTCTCTGACACCCCCACCGCTTGGTGCAGGCGTGGGTGTACCCCCACCGCCGCCGGCAGGCGTCAGTGACACCACCAGGGTTGATATGATGAAACCCAATGCAGTCAGAATGCTGGCGATGGTGATGCCTTGCTCCCGGAACAGTATCCGAATCCTGTCAGCTAGCGTGGTGTCTTC